AGAATTTTAAGAAAATGTTAGTCTAAGTGGTGTTTGGTACAATTTATGCTCTGTTCTGCTTGCTGCACTTCCATTCCTGAAAGTTTATAGCCTTTGACTCTTAGAAGGTAGATGCTCAATCTGCTCACAGCATTAACACACTCTTGGCAGTTTAGGAGACAGGTACTAAAGCCTTCTTATAAGCTTGCAAAAACTGTATGTGTGTGTATATGTCAACACACAGGGACTACTTCAAGTGAACCAGTAACTGGGAATTGAAATCTTTGTCCATCAAGCCACATTCATGCATGCATTTTTGTATTTTTTTTTTCTAGCTTGCTCACAAATGTGGTACTGTTGATGGTTTTGTTACTGCTGGGAAGGATGGAATCCCAGGAGAACGATTATTTTGGAAAAGGAACATGCATATAAAGAGTGTATGGATTTTTGAAAGCAATATATCGAGTATAGTAAACTTGCTGGTTGTAAAAGTGTGTGTTAAATTCTCTGTGTTCGTTGTGACCGCAGATGTGCTTATGAAAGTCACTGCATATTGCATGTTCTGCATGATACTTCTCTTTGGTAAACAGAAGTTAAAAACAAAATACCATCTGTGACTAATTGCTTGATGTTTTGGTTGGTTTAAAAAAAAAAAAGAAAAGATGAATTATGTTAACATGAGACGAAGGACCCATATTTTTTTGTGTGGTGGATATGCTGAAGATTGGAGTTAGTAAGTTCGAGTAAATATAAGTTTAACAACTCCAAATTATATCCATTGGCTGGAAGCTGGGCTACTCTTCCTCCTTGGTACTAGGGTCAGCTCTGTACAGACTTCTTGTGCCAAACTGTGGAATGGTCTGTAAATATACAGGTGATGGTGTGTATATTGAGGCACGGAAAAGCACTGGAAGATTTCTGCCCAAGTAGAAAACTGGCCACGGTTGGTGCTTATTCTGCAACTTCTTGATGCTTGCTGTAGTAACTTCATGGAAATATCCCTGCACCCCAGTTGGAGCTCGGCACGCTGCTGGGGGTTTAGGCTCTCCTGCTTCTCTAAATGCCAGTTGTGTTGTCCTGGTTTCCTGGTGCATTGTGTGGAGTTGGCAACAAAGCAGGCAGGCTGAATTTGTGCAGTGGGAGTAATTTTTAAATGCTGCCATTCAGATGCTGAGGATCTCTCGCTGGTCTCGCCGGGAATGGGGCTGGATCAGTGAAGAGCCTGCACGCCTACTCTCAGGCTTCCAGTGGGACCAGATGTGCTGGTTTGCTTCCCATCAGGATATGAGGTTCCCCAATTCCACTCTGTGTTGTTGGATGCCAGCTCTTCCCTGCTCCTGCAGCATGCTCTTGAGGTGGTGCTTGAGGAAGTTTGGGTGTTCTCTTGTCTTAAATTTAACAAATCTGAAAGAATTGGATTCAAATGATGTGAATTTGTTGGAAAATAAACTGGTGGATTGACTGAGAGGTTGTTCCCCCCATCTCCAAAAGATGAAGCTGCAAAGTAACAGTAGTAAGACTTGCATTTGCTGTTTGTGGTAGTCCTTGCCTACCTGCCTTTTTTTGGGGTGAAAGTGTATTTCATCATAATGAAAGGGTCATTAGGACATCATAGCCTGCTGTGTCTGGTTTTGAGCCAAAATGTCAGTAATTCTGCTTATGCTTGAGGAGCAGTTCTGAGGTCTTTGTCACCAAGCTGTGGGGAGTGGAGGCATGCTCTGAGAGTGTCAATTGATCTCTGTACTGTCATCAGTTGTTTTATTGCCGGTTCAGTAACTAGTGTGGCAAAAGACATCTATGCTTATCTGCAGACATACCTTCAATTTACCTTGTCCACATTTTATCCTCTGGGACTTCCTCTTTATTTCAGTGTATGGAGGAGACATTGGCATTCAGTGGGAGGAGATTTTGTTTTGTAGCACTTCAGATTTTTTCAGTGCTGTGGAAAAAATAATCTTGAGTTTTCAGAATATATTTCAATTTCTTTGGCTGCAGAAGAGTGGAAGATCTGCTTGGATTCATCATTCAGACATTTACACTTTGTGGTTTTAAAGGTTTGGTCGCCTCCTTTTTTGTTTGTTGGGTTTTTTTTTCCTTATTTGGAGGAGTCTAGTGTTGTTTCTGATGTGGAGCTATGCAAATTTAAGCAGCTCAACCTTAGATATAGTTGAAAAGAATATTCACGCTTTCTACCATGTGGCTTCTCTAGGCATCCCTCCATAAAAGACGGGTTTTTTTTCCTGTAGAGGAGCTGCCAGAACCCTGTTGGATTTTGCTCCTGGTTTATCTTCATATGCTGTCCTACTTTTTTAACCTGCTTGTGGGTGCATGTGCGTGAGAAATCTCCCTCTGAAAATGGAGCAAGCACGTCAGGGAGGACTCTGTCTCATACGGTGAGCTACCTGTCTGTACCACTCCTCACCCAGAGATGGTGGATTACTTTAGTTCTTAGAGGTGCCTCTCACAGATCTCATCTCTTGCACAGAAGCCACCAAAAACTTTTGGGTGAGAATCCATTGTTTGGACTACAGATGCATCTTGGTGGCTTGGCAGCTGTTCCACAGTGGGTTACAGATGTTATGCTGTCTCTCTGCATCTCTTTGGTGACCGTTCTGGGTAAAAGTTGCTCGTTTAATAGCAGTGCTTCAGCTGCATATGCTTTTAGTGTGATTTTTTTTTAATTACACACTGAAGCTAGTCTTTTCAATGTCTGTTTTTATATTTATTCTTTCAAACTCCCGTTATCGAAGTGTGACTAAAGGGAAAATTCCCAGGTAGCTAAGATCAGTATGCTAATTGATATCTTACTACTGTGATAGCAAGAGTATAAATTCTATTGAAACTAACTTTTTGTGTCTTATTTTACTGGAGCAAAAAGTTGTCATGGGCAGCTTCATCCTAGAAGTCACAGCTTACAGAGAGAGGTGTGTCCCTGGTGTAACACTGCTGCTTTGCTGTTTGAAGGCTCTGAAGCTTTGGGGCTCAGAGTGAGTAGCAGGTCTGCTCAGCCTTTGCTCAGTTTGTGTCAGTCTCAGCATCTTCTCACTGTGAAATATGCTTAGGAATAGTACTGTTACTGGCTGTTTTACATCCAGCAATGGTCCTCGCAGCAGCCAACTATCAGCCGCTCCTGTAGGCTGGTCTTTTCTGCCATCAAGAATGTTCTTAGCACAAGGAAAGAGCTGATCTGGAGTGTGGTTAAAATGAAATGTGTGGCTTCAATCCAGGGACTAGCATCAGCTGATTTACATCTCTCAGAGTTCCTGTGAATGGAGAAAAAGTTATCTGTCTGTTATGGAAGGGGGAAGGAAAAAGCAGGCTAGAGCTTAGCTCTGAAGCCAGCAGATTCAGGTTGCATCCTGCTGGCTGTGCTGTTTCACAGCATCTGTGGAGCTCTTTGTCCATCCATCTCAAACGGCTGCTCACAGCTGTGTTTTGGATGCGATTGCTGCTCCCATGTAAAAAAGTGATTATCTGGCGCCTACGTTGCCTTTGTCAACATCCGAAGGTTATTACTGGTCTTCTTACTTGCTGCGCAGTACATCTGCTCTACAGATTTGATGGAAATCTTTTTGGCAACTATTTCTTCATATCTCTGGATAGTTAGGCACAAAAATGCTGCAAAAATTGAAACTGTGTGTCTTCATGTTTGAAGTAGCTAACAGCATACGTCTATTCAGAGTGAAAAATGCACTGGATATATACTGTTGATTTTAATGTGTTGTCATGATATTCAATGCTCAGAACATGTCCCCTGTTCCGCCTTCCTCCCTCCCGATATGTTGCTGTGCCATGTGTTGCCTGGCATACTTGCTGAGAGTACATTGTGTTTGGTTTTACCGAGGAGAATCTCAAGGAATCTGTTGGAGTATGGACCATGAGCTGGAAAAGTTTATTTTTGCTGGATTCTTTAAAAAGTTTTGCTGTTTCATCACAGCTTAGCAGGCTAGCAATGGGAAATTTCAAAAGGCAAACTGGGAAGCTTGCTATAAATTCATATAGGACTCATACTGGTAACTTCTGCAGCCAGTGACGGCATTTGCTGATGTCTGTCCTGCTGTACCTGTTGGATTTGATGTGCAGACGTTTTGGTTCTCAGCCAGAAGGGGCTGAGAAGGATGGTTTGGTGCACTGATGTTAATGAAATGGTGTTTTCTGGGAGGATACATCTCAGAAAACGACACAGTGCTAGCAAAAAGGTTCATTAGGTCTCCCAGTCCATTCCGTGACGTACCCTGCTGCCTTACAGCAACACGTCCTTCTCTTCTGTCCCAATAACTGTGTGTCCTGCAAGGTCTCGTATGTTAAGTGCAGCTCAGCCTATACGCTGTGGCAGCGATAGGGTATCTGGTAGTACAGTGAATACACCAGTAAAATCCAGCTGTTGTGCTCGGTGCTTGACGGTGCTGTGTGTGTTACTGGGGGAGGGTTTTGTGCGACAGCTGGAGCCGCTGTGCTCTGTGACTGATGGAGCTACGCCTGTGGAAGTATTTACTTCTGTGGTGGGGTCAGCAGATACGGTCTGTTTGCTCACAGCTTGTAGCTAATGTCTGAGCTGAAGAGTTCCCTGGGGATCCAGCGATGGTAGGAAAGATTTTATTTGTTGCTGTCTTGACAGTGTATTATAATACCTTCCACTTTCTCCTTCTCAATGTCAGTAAATTCCTCCAAAACTCAAACAGAACACCAGATTTTTCCCAAGACTTGAGGAAAACCTCAGATCTGAAAGATGAGGTGTGGTTTTAGTGGTAGTTTGAAGAAAGGTGTGAGTAAACAGAGAAAAGACTGAGCAAATGGAACATGTTTTTAACTTGGGGACTCTGCTCTTCAAACTGTGTTGTTAAGGAAGCTTTTTTTCTCAGTTATCTTTCGAGGAGGGGAGAAGTTAGTTTGGTAGACAACTCTTGTTTTAGCAAAACAACACAGTTGCAATCATAGCTGCGTGTGTTTTGATTTTGTACTTTTTTCTGTCTTGGAAAAGCAATGGTCTTACCAGCTCTATTCTCTTTCCTGTTTGTTAGGTCTGCCTAACCACGGACAAACCAGACAAATGGTAAGAGAATGTTCATTTAACCAAAACAGGGAAAAGAAGAATTATTAACCCATGCTAGATAGAATACCCCATTAAACCCTAGTGTTTCACTTCCGTCTTTGCTGTTTGCAGCTGGTCATACTTCCCAATTAATTGAAAAATTTTAAAAAAATAATTATTTTGGGGCATATGAAACATCCAAGTGGTTAAATATAATTTAAACCTCAAATCTGTCTTAACTGTATATGTATAAATGAGATTCTTTTTGGAATGCAACATTTTTGTTTCTGCTCATACAGAAACTGAGTGGCTGTTTATAGCAAAGTTCTGGGATGTGTTTCTAGGGGGAATGTGTTTCACTGAAGGAGGAAGGCTTAACTGATGGAAGGGTTTGTTTGGAAAACAGTTTCTTTTTTTCATTTCTTTTTTTAGGAAGTTGGTATGCAAGTTGTCTACTGAGAATGCCTGGGGTTCATGTTATTTTTTTTTTTTTAATAAAAACGATTCCTAGCCTTTCATCCATTATGCTGAGTTTTATCAAAGGACAGAAGCAAATAGCCAGTCTGATTGCTGCATCTCTGGCAAAATGCTTTCTCATTAAATTCACCTTGGTTTGAAGGAGCCAGCGCAAGGGCTGTGCATCACTTACCCCCCCTTATGCAAGGCTTATGGGAGACTGCTTGAAGCATAATTTTTTTTTCCCCACAAAAAAATGATCTTCTGGTGTTGATAAAGTGGAGCTTGCCGCGTTAGGTGAACTGCCACAACGCATTAGTGTCAGTGGAGTCACTCTGCCATGGGTCAGTCAGCAGCAGGTATGATGGATGGTCACTGAATGCTGATCACAAGCATTATTAAATCCAATAATGTTCTTGGGTAGTGTGCAGTGTCAGGAGGGTGGGCAATAACTTGAGCATGTTGGTCCGCTTGTAATAACGAAGCATTCATTTGGTTTGCTACTTGAGCATCTGATATGAAGTGGTAAATTATATTTCTCCTTGAATTCAGCTTCATTTCTTGTCACTGAGGAGACTGGCTACTTGTTTGTGTCTGCTGAATAAACCAGCTCAGTGCAGTGGGAGAAATCTGTGATGACCTGACACTTTTTAGGTGATTTACGGTGAAACCCTCGAACTGCCTTGGTTTCTGGTTGCTTGATAAAGTGTGCTACTGAACTGGAAATTAAAGATCCATCTTTCAGGGTGCACCCTTTGAAACAGATTGCTCTGTACAGGTAGAAAAAGGGCATCCTGGAAGCACAGGGGTGCCCCTTCTAGGTATTTCCAAGAACTTCCTCCAGAGTTGTTCTCCTGTGTAAGTAGCACGTGCAGACAAAATATCCTTCACAACACTAATGAGAGGATTTTCGTGGAAAAATCTGAAAGGGGTAAAAACCAAAACTAACAGAAAAGCTTTTTATTTGAAACCTTTTCCTCAATAAACCTCAAATATAAAAGCAATTCTTTAAGTATTTCAGTGGTCTGCTGTGGTGTCAAAGTTGTCTTGTATAACATGGAGCTGGGCAAGTAAGAAATTAAATTGTTATTGCAGTGGTATACAAAAGCTTTAAAAAGCTCAGGATTTTAAAAGGTGGGATTTTGTTTAGCTCTAAAGTTTAGCTCCTAATTTTCTACAGGAAGCAGATCTTGCTAGCACAGTTGATTAAGGCTGGTCAAAAAAAAAAATCATCTATCATTTTTCATTTTCTCCTCAGATGAAAATGAGATAGACACAGGGTTTTGTTGGGTTTTTTCTTTGGTTGACAGACGGAAGTCCTCCCTTTCTAAGTCAGAGTGTTAAAATTTGGTTGAGGTTTTGCCATAACCTGACACTTAAGTACCTCATGTCCTCACCTTTCCTTTTGAGGTAGATCTCCCAGGCTGGACATCCCTCATGTGCACGTGCAGTTTACCAATTTTGTGGACAGAAGGGGGAGCCTTGGTGCACCTGGGGAGATGGTCTGACCTCAGAAGATGGCCTGTGAAATACCAGAATTAAATTTCTACTGGGGTGTTTTCTGACCAGCTTTAATTTATGCACATCAAACTTTCTGGGCCCTTACTTTGCATCTTTCCTGACTGTCCAGTGTTACTGATTTCAGTGGGATTTCTCAATGTGCTAATCAGCAGACATCAGAACTGGACTTCAGATGATCAAGGACAGCTGCATTTGAGAAGCTTAATCCTTTGCTCCCTTGCATCTGCACCTTTCTTAATAACAGCTCATATTTTTCCAGTGGAGTGGAAGGGAACTACTGTGGGTCTGGAAAATAATACCTGTATTGATACACAAAGCAAATGTATTACATATGGGAAATCTGTGGTGTTAAATGCTAAAAGGATTTATGATGAAAGCTGCTAAGCTTTGTAGTTCTAGGTTTGTTTTGAACAACATATTTAATATATCACTAAATATTAACCTTCCTTGAACAAAAAGGATATGGGTAAGTTTGGTACCCCAGAATAACTGTAATTTCAGATCTTTGTTTGATTTGCTGTGTAGTTGCATTTTCCTTCCCTGAAATCAATAGAGTTGCTCTAGATTTATGGTAGTAGCTGAAATCTAAGTCTTATGCTCAATCTTTCAAACTTGATGTCATCTTTCTGACACAGCAACAGATTATTGGTGATGCCTTCTATTTATTATTTGTCCTGTCGCTGGAATATTGCTGCCCTGTTGTACATTGAAGGTGCCTGACTTCTGCTTGTGGACAGTTGCTTTTATGTGAATTCTGTGTTCAGTCATGGGCAAGAGGGGACATATTCACCAGAAACTTTCAAGAGCTGATATGCAAACTTTAATTCTCTTTTCTTTGTTTGAGTGCTTATCACATGCTGCTGCAGGTTTGTTGCAGTCTGTAATTGTACTTTTTTATGTATCACGTTAGGGACCAAGCCGAAACTTGCTGCTCAATGGGAAATCATACCCAACAAAAGTCCGATTAATTCGTGGTGGATCCATGCCTCCAGTGAAAAGGAGGAGGATGAACTGGATTGATGCACCAGATGATGTTTTTTACATGGCCACTGAAGAAACCAGGTAGGAAACTTGGTCTTTCAGAGGATTTAAGGGGAGGTCTTTTTGTTTGTGTTCCTTGTAGGTGTTGCAGCTGATTTTGTGGTTAGACAGGGATCTCTTCAGCAGATCTGTTGGTACAGACTGAATGCAGACACCACTGCTGGTGTTGAGGTGGATAAAGGCTGTGATATCGCTGATCATATCTGATATGCCTAATCATGCACTTGCATTCCAGAGAAAGCAGATTCTTCTTCTTCCAGAGCAGTTCCTGTAAGAGAGGGGCAATAATGGAAGGAAGACTGAGGTGTGGGGAGTTCACATGGTTCAGACCCGTAAATGCCTTTGGAGGTCCCACAGCAGTGTCTCAGTAACAGGACAGGGGCCTTCTGGTGCACAGGTGGTGCTGAGGAACAGAGCCTCCTACACTTGGAGCTCTGCATGCCCTCTTGCATGCTGAAGTGTCTTGTATTCCCTCTCAGAACATCTCCTAGTGTGTCTGAGTAACAAAACCTGAAAGTGACACGGAGGGTTTCTGGGGGCTCAGTTGCCTCATTTCTTCGGTGATTTGCCACCAGTAGTGGTGAGATTTAGTCCTACAGTGTCGTCTTCCTCCTTTGGTGGGACTGCTTCTGCTAGTCCTTCTTGTTAGTCTGCCCACAGGATAAAAATAGTAAAAGAAACTTTCCTTGCATGAGTTTCTCTTTAAACTCTGTCTACAGGCTGCTGACAGAGTGATAGACACTGTGTGGCCTGATCCCCAAAGCAAAGCTTTTGTGTGCGTGTTCCCAGTACTGTGTTGCTCCTAGGGAGGGAGGAGTGCTCCTGGATGTGGTTAGAAAGGTGGAAACATAAGCTTGTGTGGTTTCCTCACAAGAACTTGATGCCTCTCTCCTGGGTAACCTTGAAGAAAGTCAGAGCCCTGAAAACCTGAAACCACAGCCCTGCTTTCAGCCCTCTCTGCAAGCAGAGGTGCTCTCTGGCTTTTGTCCATGTCTGAAGCGTGGAGTTATCAAGAGTTTCAGTATCAGTGCCCCAACAGGCAGAGAAGCACTTACCCTTCCCTTCAGTACCTAGCAGAGATGGACCTGGCAGTTACTGGATGTCTGAGCCCTTACGAGTGACCAGGGAGACCAGGAATTTTAAGTACTTTGTCCCTTAACGTTACTACTAAATTTGGTGCTACTCTGAGTATTCATTTGTTCAGCATGAAGTGCTCAGAGTCCTGACATCCCCAGCCTCCTCCTTAGCCTGCAAAGCATTTCAAGTGTCAAGTGACTATTCTGTGGGCCTAGTGTCAAAGATGGGCTTCACAGACAAGCTGAGACTGGTAACATTCAAGTTACTAATCACTGATCTATTGGATCACCAGATTTCAGTGCAGGAAACCCCCCTGTTAGAACTCAGAAGAAATAGGAAATTGATTTCCTTGTCAGGCTTGTTCCTTTAATGCAGCTGAGCATTTCACACCAGCATACATCTTTACCTTGTCTTTCCCTTTTTTTGTTCCTGCGAGATGCTGTGAAAATAAGCCGTGGGGTCTCTTATATAATTGAAACTAAAGTGAGAGAACTATTTAATTTTCAAGGGAAGTGGTAAAGAGGTACTGGGATCCTGTTACAGACCTTCAGCTCTGGCAAATTATGTGCCATTGCAGATGCGGGGTATACAGTCTCTATCTAATTCAGTCCTTAGATGTTCAAGGCTTATTTCATAACCCTGCATCTACAAAACACTTGACATCTTTATCGTCCAACCCACAAGAAATACTGCAGGTCAGTGGTAGTAACGTGTCAGTCACTGCTACACGGTCCTGCCCTTTGATCTGTACAGAACAGTGAGAATATTCATCAAGTGCGATGTTGGTCGTGAGAACAACTTACTGTGGGGGCACAGAAATGTCTGCTCATACAGAACCACTGATGGAGGCAGGAAGGATCAGTCCCACAGCAATCAGCACATCTCTAACACAGGAATAAAATCATAGTGCCGTGATAGACTTCAGTTCAGTGAGACCTTATCTCTTCCATTTAAAAAAAAAAGGAAGAAGGGGCTTCTTTGTCTGACAGCCTTGCTGCTTAGCTGACTGATGAGTGCTGAAAAGAGATGTTTGACAGCCTGCTGAAAAGCAGGGAAGCCTGAGCGATGTAGCATTGTAAGCGGCACGGGTTTTCTGTCGGGCGTTTCACCTCTAACTTTTCCCTGAACCATCTGCTGCATTCCAGTGACAAGAATGTAAGGCTTGTTTGTGAGCTCTGAAACAATCTGAGCTTTGTGTTGGCTCCACAGCAATCAATCTAGCAGCAATATCTGCATATCATCCTCCAGCTGAGGGTCAGGCTGTGTTTTCAGTCACAGAAAGCAGGTTTTCCTAAAGTTTTACGCCCTCCCTCCTCCCCCTTTTGGGGGGCACCGTTGAGAATGGTGCTAGAAAACTGGATAGCTTTGAGGGAACAGTTTGAAAAAGTTGGTCAACTGAAAAGAATAAGTTTTTGAATTCAAGCCTCACTAAGGAACTCAGCAGAGTTTATAATTTATGCAAGCGGAGGCAGCGGGTGACCTGATCAGAATCTAGAACTGCTACAAGACGTGTTTGTGATGGCAGCGTGTCTAATTGAGCGCATGCAGATACTGTAAGAAGCTCTGCTGGCGAAAAGCAGATCAGCTAAGCCAGTCTTGGAAAAATCATCACATCGAGAATTTATTTTTTTTCTCCCTACCACCACTTTTCCACCCTGTTCTCTTCTCTCCCCACCCTGTGCCCTTTCAGCTTTAGAACTGAGCAAACAAAAGGAGTGTGTCTGTGTGCCTGAGCTCTATGTAGCAGGCTTGTTCTGTGCAGTGGGCAAAAAAAGCAAGTGAACAGGTAGAGACCAAATCTCACCAGAGAGATCTTCAGCTGAAGTTGTTGATTTTTCAGCTCTGGTGGTGGGGAGGGTAAATTTTTTGGGAGGAAGGAGGAAGTATTTTGACCAGCTTCTTGTACAAATATGTCTTTTCTTCCGTTTTCTTTTTCTTTTTTAAATGAAAAATTTGCCCCCAACCATGTTGAGTAACCAAAAATGTAAAAATTATCTTTGAGAGATAGATAGTTGAGGTGTGGACTGTAAAGCCTTCCTCTAGTCCAGTACCATGTCTCTCATGGGAAGTTAAAAAATCAGAAGGTAGGAGCCTATAAGGGTAGGCAGTGCTTCCTTATCAGACCCTCCTTGTTGCTCCAGTTCCTGAACTGAAGGCTGTAGGTACTGATGAACCACTATGAACCACTCTTGTGAATATTTATCACTTTTCTTTCTAATCTCTATGTGCCTTTGACCATAGCAACATCCTGTGGAAAGGAATTCCTCATTTTAATTACATAGTACATTTTTCATTGTTGCTGTTTTTCTTTCTTTCTTTCTTTTTTTTTTTTTTTTGAGCTACTTCCTTTAGCTCTAAGGCTGGTATTGACAAAAGGAAATGAGTAATCCTTTTGTATTGTCTCTTTCTACCTTGTTTTGCTAATTTTAAAACTTCAGTGCATGCTCTCTCTATTCTGTCTCTCTTTTACTTTCTCCCCGTGTAGAAAACCACTCCCTGCGCCTGATAAGACTTGTTGCTAGTCTTGTAACATATAGGGAAGCTCTTAACAGATGCAAGACGTGAATATTGCCCATTTCTAGGTTGGGCACATGCCAGGTGGGAGAAAGAAGAGGGGGAGACACCCTATCAGTGTTCCCAGTGTGGGGGAAGGCCTCCAGTACTGGTTCAGTGGTTAGTGGCCGTCATGCAGCTCCCCTATGGCAGCTCAGCCTGGAGGCGTAGCTCCATGGGAGCCCAAATGTTGGTGGCTTGTGCTGCGAGGGGTTTCTTTTGAAGAGACAGCTGCATGCACCTGCTTGGGGCTGGGGGATGTCAGGGCACTCCATGAGAGATGGATTAGCAAGCAGGAAGGGGACCAACATTGCCAGAAGAGGTTTGGTTGTAACTTGGCTTTGTAAATTCCCACAAAGCTGTCACAGCAGCATGTCCAACCGATGCGTCTGCCTGCATCAAAATAAATTTGTGGTATGGAAACAGGCTGTCATAACTGTTTCATGTGTTATATTTACAGCAGGGGACCCCAGTCCTATGAGGCTGGACCAGAATGCCTTCTGCTCTGCAGGGGAAGGATTCTGTAACAGAGAATGCAATTTCCTCTTCCTTGGTGGGTTTATAAATCAGAAAACAAAAGTTCCCCCAGGGAAGACATCGCTGAAATAAACAGCGTCAGCCCACCCCATTAGCGAGCAGCCTCTGGATGTGCAGGCCTGGTTTCCCTTGGAGAAACTGAGAAACCTACAGTGCCTTAGCGTTTGGTCTCTGTAATCAGTTCCTTTCTGCCTTACTGTCTGCAGGAAAATCCGCAAGCTGCTTTCCTCTTCTGAAGCCAAGCGAGCCGCCAGACGCCCTTACAAGCCTATTATCCTCCGGCCCATCCAGGCAGTGCAGCTCCGCCAGCCCATGAATGATGAACCCATAATCATTGAGGATTAACACGTGCTGAGCAGCTCTCCGGATGGCGGTGGATCTGCCTGAAAGAATCTCTCCTCCAATATATACTTGAGTTTCTATGGCTACAGCATTGAACTAACTGTTGAAGAGGGGGAACTTTTGAGGAACTGTTTTGCATCTTTTAAACCCTTAAAAGGAACTCAGCCCTGCTCTGAGCCTCAGACCACAGACTGCTCTCTCTCTCTCTCGCGCGCGCGTGTGCTCTCTCCTTCTCTCTCCTTTCCTTTTTTTCTTTTATCTTTTTTTTCTTTTTTTTTTTTTTATTTTCAGTAGCTTCTTTTCCCCTTTGCTTCTACCCCTTTTGTAGACGGGGGAGGGAAAGTAAGTTTAACTTATTAAGAGAATGTGGACTAGTACTTTTTAGCTTTGTTTCCTCTAAAAAAAGTACGAAGAGCTAGAACCCTTCATTTTGTGACTGAGCTCTCGTTGCAAAGCCGTTTTTATGAGGCTGTGTTGTAAGATTTTTCTTTTCTTTTTTTTTTTTTTTTTTATTTTGTGGACGGTGCCATTTTTTATTTCATTTATATTGTTTCTTTTGTAGATAAATTTCCAACCTTTAACAGATATTTGGAAATAGGAGCTGAAAGCCAGCCCCAGGTTCAGCCAGTTTTCTTTGGTCCTGTCCCTTATGTTTTTTGGATCATTTTGCACAGCCAGTTGTGCTCATGCACAAGACAGAAACAACTCAGGCTGAGAAAGGAGTGAGCTAAGAACTGAAGAACCTTGCAGAACATTACACTGGTGTTGTGTGCAGTGGAGGCCAGGCTACCAGAATTAGGTGTCCTTAACTCTAGTCACTCCCTGGGAGATCTGGCCCGTGTGGTGTTTCTCCCAGTAACCAGCAGTTTGCGTGCTGCCTTCTCTCTGACATTTGGAATCCTACGTGCTGTCACGCCACCGAGATGCAGCAGTAGGCCCAGCAGTCCAGCAAGTGTAATGAATTGCTTTGCTCTGGCTCCAAGAGTCAAGTACACCAATGCCCAGGGACATTTTGCTTAGAACTCTGAACCTGTTTGTGCATCAGTGTTTTTGGACACATCTCTCCCAGGACAAGACCTTGTTTCTCTTTAATTGCGTTACTGTATGTTTCCCATTTTGAAGGGAATTTAAATTACAGCTGGGTTTTCATTTGAACACATTGTGTCTGAATTTAAGTGTTTTTTTCCCCCCCTTGACATTTCTTGTGTTTGAGGTTTCTTGCATCTCTTGAACTTCTTATGTATTTGCAAGTCTGTATAATTTCTTTTTTGTATGTCTTCTCATTGCAGTGCATCTGCTGAATGCCCTGCTCTGTTTTGAAAGGATGTAAACTATCACTTGCAACTTGTGCTGATCTGTACATGTACCTGTGACGAGCAGACACAGCATGTAATAACCCCTAAGTCATTCCATATGTGTCAGCGGTGAGATGAGCCAAAGTTGTATTTGGGTTATCACAGTCCAACCGTGATTCTGTGCAACTCTGCTAACCCACCGGGTTAGACAGAAAGGAATCCCCACAAAATGAAAACAATTCAGTTAACTTTACTTAATAAACCTGGAAAGTGAGCTTTTGTGAAACATCTGCTTTTTGTCTCTTCTGAAGCAGCTGCCAAGCCCCTCGCTCAGGGTGCCATCTGCATGCACACATGCCTCTGCACTCCTTCCTGCGCGTCCCAGACTTGCGTTCCGCTCTCGAGTGTTTGCGTAGCTGCAGCAGGTCCCTTGTACAGGGCAAGAGTCATTCACGGTTTGTTTCCCTCCTGTGCAGTTTAAATATTTCTAACACTTCAGGCTGTGACTCCCTCCCCGCGCCTTTTAACCGTGGCAGCAGATGCAGCGCTGGAGCCCTGAATGAGCCTTTTGTCTGCGGGGGCTCACGCCTCTTGCTGATGGGGGCATGACGCTGGCATGTGGCAGAGTGAAATCCCTGGGGGTTAGCAGCCGAGCCCACGGACATTTTAATTTCTTCATTTCTACGTTTGCTCCTTACTGGGATGAGCAAAGCGGGCGCAATGCTTGATCTCATTTGCTACTTGGGAGTTGTAAGACTTACTCTGTGGCTGCACTTGGCAGATGTTGTAAGTGTATTCTACACCGCTGGTCACGTTTTCCTGTCCATAACAAAAGCAGGAGGGAATAGCTGTTCCTGAAGGATACGCTATGGAGGAAGGTCACCCAGCTTACTTGACAAAAAGCCTCCAGGCTGCGTGCAGCGGTGCGGGACTGCCCCAAACACCACTGGCGGTTTTACTCTGCCTCCATCGGTCTGTAGGATTAACCCCATGCACGTGAGAAATATTGCTGACTGCGGGAAGGTTTTGTAACACTTGATTTTTCTCTGTGAGGGAGAGGTCTCCCAGGGATTCCTTCCTGCTGCAAATCTGAAGAGATCAGTTGGAAAACTGTGTCCGAATTGGCTTCGGCCGCTCTGCAGTGGGGTTGGAGCTGGTGGCTCAGACGGAGCTGGGGGCTGTGCTCTGCCACGGTGCTGGGAGCTGTGAAATATCCCCGTGTGCTGGGAACAATGCACTTTAGTTATGGGTGGGTGAGCTATTGAGGAGACTCAGGAGAAGCTGTTCAGGCTGCGTGGAGAGCTCAGAGTAACCACTTGAGGGTGCCAGCCCTTCAGTTTCCAGCAACTTAAAAGCTTTCTTGGAGCTGCTCCAGAGATTACTCTGGGAATGAGTCCAGGCAAGTAGAGAGAAAATCCTGTGCTGCCCTGGCTTTGAAGGATCCCTTGCGTGTCCTTTAATATGGATGCCGGTTTCACTGTGCGGTAGCAGACTTCCCTCCCTGGTGTTTCACTGGCTGATGTTTGTACCAACTTGGGAGGAAGGCTTGGAAGATACCTTCAGCAACCAACAGAAAATGCCAAGCGCAGAGTGAAGGGTGGGTCCCACCACTGACCTGCCCAACCCAGAGCCATCACTCTCTTATGCCAGCTGCTGTCACTAAGCCTCTCCTGTCCTGACTCCTCTTCCATATTCACATTCATACACCGGTGTGCTGTTGCTGCAGGAAATTGTTCACCCTCCTGCTCTGGAGGCTGGTAAAAGATTTTTAAAAGTGCATGCAGCTGAGACAGTGTCCCATTTTTAGCATCCCTCCCACCCCCTGCTTCCACCTCAAGAGCTCTTGAGATTGTTCGGGACAGATTCTGCTGGGAGTCACAGTGCGAGACGCTGGGCTGGCGTTTGGGCATTTTGTCTCCATCCTGCAGAGCCTGGTGCTTGGAAGTCCAGAGAGCTGCTCAGGAAAGTCTTTCGAAACCAAAACAAAAATCCAAACATTCCTACAGTACTTTACGACAGTGTTTTCGTTACAGATTTTTTGTTTGTTTGTTTGGAATTTTGAGGTTTTTTACTTTGCATTTTGCATGTTACCAGCTTGTCAGTAGCAGCTCCCTGTGATCTCTGTGTTCGATGCTGTACCATGAAGGCAGGGCATGGTCTGTAACAGCACTGTTGAAATCCTGTGAAAAGAAGCAAAGCATGACCAGAACTAACAACCCTGAACCTGGCGTTCCTGCTGTGGGAGGTGGGCTGTACCCGGGACACTACTGGAGAGCTGCAAAGCAAAATACACGCTGAAATTTCCTTTGAAATGGAAATTTGAAGCACATGCCAGCTCCGCTGCGGGCTCTGGCTCTCGGTACGAGCGTTACACAAGCCAGACCTTGGGCAGCCTGCAAGTCTCTTTCGGATGGTCAGTTTGCGGCACAGTGGAGCCTCTTCCCACCACCGAGGTCGGGGCATGGAGGAGGAGGAGGGGGCCAAGAACCTGCTCCAGTGACAGCATGGGCACGGCTGTGCTGAGGAGTGGCATGGGGGGTGTGCCAGCCTGGGGGATTCCTGGGAAGAGCAAGAATATAGAATCCTCTAACAGATTTTCATTGGGAGGAGGAGGAAGGGTTTTGGTACAGTTGTAGAAACTGGACCCTGCATCTCTTCTGGTTTTTCTTGATCCATCCAGAGGGCACAGGCTTAAAAACACTTTTAACTTAAAATTTGGCAGCGGTGTTAGAGGGAGAAAGGAGAGATCGCTGCAGAAAGGCAAGCCAGGACATGACAGTGCTCTCTAGCTGGCAAGCGTTTGTTTGGTTTTTTTCTTCTTGTAAATGTGCTTTTTAGTCAACGCTTTTCTAGGAGAGCCTACAAGAGCCAACAGTGCTGGGAAATGCTGTGATCCCCGTCTTCAGGATACAAACATGTCTTGAGTACGTCTGGTTTTCACTGCCCTCCTGCGGGAGGAGGCTGGCGAGTCCCTGTGTCCCCACTGCCCTCCCCTTCTCCCTGGGCACTGACTGGAGGGGTTTTGCCCCCTCGGCCAGCTTTGAGACCTGCGGAAAGACTCGGCCTCTGCTGATGGTGTTTCACCCATGCAGGCTCTTGGGAGGGAGAAGCCGTTGCAAGAAAAGGCACATGGTAAATTCAGATGGGCTGTGGGGCTGGGAGCATATCCCCAGCTCCTCCCCAGCCCAGGAGAACGCTGGGCAAGGTCAGGGCTGAAGCATGCTTGATTCCTGCCCGGGGCTTTGCTAGTTTGCTCGCTGCATTCCTGGAGCGAGTGTGAGTAACATAAATTCAGCATCTTTCTGCAGACAGCTTCCTCCCTCCTGCCGGCAAGGGGACTCAGCATCTGGACCCAGTGCTCTGCAGGATGCTGGCAGCATCACAGCAGGAGGATTTACGGGTCCTTGCTCGAGGCTTTCAGCCAGGTCGCTCTCCTTTGTAGGTTTTCTATCCGAGTGGTTCCAGCAGCAGTGGGTTTGTTGCCCGCTGCCAGCATCTTGGCTGTCTCTGTGCAGGATGTACACGAGGGGCGTGTGTGGGTGTGGAGCCAGGCCGGGCGTGTTTGCACGTTTCACTGCATCCCAGTGTTGAAGTGTTCACCAGGGACCAGGGGCAAACGCATCCTCATGACTGCATTTTCCCCCTCAAGCTGCCAAAGGGGAGAAGATGGTGCCACAAGGGGACATGGGGACATCACAGCACCCACAG